GAGGAAAATGAAGCCAAAAATTCTAGATCACAATGATGCTCATCCAATAGCTAAGAACATGAAGATAAGGAAGGATTCATGATTAAGGCTATGGAGAGAGTCAGATCCATATGCCACCAGGAGAAGGACTGCTGTGGACTACAGGTTCCATACAAAGGAACAACAGGACTTTTATGAGACCATCTTGCTTGACAAGAAGCCCATAGTGTGTGACATGAGATGGGTCGATTGGTCATTTATTGAGGAAAATGAGGGTCACTTCCCTGGTGTATATGACAGCTTCAAGGCTTGTGGAATTGATGAGTTTGTGGCTCAAAAGCTCACAAAATGGAATGATGAGCTCATCATGCGTTCTACTCCACAGCTCACTTCTACCTAGATGGAAGGATTGTTTTGATGTCTGAAGGTACGAGGTACCAGTCCACAGTTGCAGAATAGGCTAAGTTGATAAATGCCCCAGAAGAGAGTGAAGATGACTTGGATGTCTATGCCAACAAGAAGAAGGATCACAACACCATGGCACACATGTACAAGGAGATCCCAGATGCTGCTCTTGAGACACACAAGTTTGGGTCTGTACATTACCTTATGTCAGGCTTGCCAACTATCAACTGGATCCTCAGGCACACTCTCTTGCCAAAGTCAGGTGATCACAAGATGATCAGAGGCCATGCAATTAACTTGTTTCACATCTTTGATGTCCCATAGAAGTTCAAAGTCATGAGCCTAATAGTGGAAACCATAAAGAGGACAGCTGCAGATCAGAAGAGGAGTTGTGGGTATGCCCCACAGATCCAGGAGCTGATCAACTTCAAGATGGGCACTGGCACATATATGTTGGACAAGGAGCACCTGCCCATCTACCCAGACTTTGAGGATAACACTATGGTGATGGATGAAAATGAACCATCTTCTGTGCACGCACAAGCCAAGAAGGAGAAGGCAAGGGCTGAAAAGGCTGCAAGGATACCAACTACTAAAGAGGCATCTCAGTATCTTCTGAAGAGCACGCATGAACAGCTTGGCTACTTAATTGCCTCCACTCTAAGGATTGAGAAGGGACTGGCCACCCTGACTCAAAACCAGGAGAGCTTGGAGAGGATCGTGGAGCAGAAGTTCTATGACTTAGATGTGAAGGTCACTGAGATCCAGTAAGTCGTTGAGAAACTTCAGGATGAAGTGGAGGAGAAGAAGGGCAAGACAACCACTGATGCTTTTGCTAGAGTGCCCAGAGGTCAGAGGTCTGCTGCAGTGCCTATTCCAGACACCAGAGCTACTTCATCTGCACCAACTACAGCTTCAGTGTCACCGGCTCCAGCATCTACTCCACCAGCTCCATCTACATCGACTGATGCCTTCGTTCTTGGAGTTCTATCTACACCACCACTGGAAGATCAAGCCTGAGTGTCGATCTAGCACTATGCATTTTTTATGAACTTTTTGGTAACTTGTTGCCAAAGGGGAAGAAAATATATAGATCATAGGCTTCGAGAGAGAGCGTTGTTTTTTATTCTCTCTTTTTGTTTGGTGGTTAAACTTCGTTTATTTGCTTGGTTGAGATACTTTATACTTTGTGCTTGCTTAGATAATCATGTGTTTGATCATATGCTACCTTAATGTTTGTTGGATCACATTACTCTTTTATGTGATCATTCACTTTGCTTGGTGATGAGTGCATGTATTTTAATTATTATCATTTTGAGCGCTCCACCAAGATGTAGGTGACATGGAAGAGTAACCCATGATCCTAACTCTTTGTGCATTTGCAGTCCAAAGCAAATCTTAAACTATGCACAAATTTAAGGGGAGCTCTTACTTTTCACATACTTCTCAAAGCGACAATGTTTTTCACTCTTATTATCATTTGTCGAAGTTTTGATCTATATGTTATCATCAATTACCAAAAAGGGGATATTAAAATTGCAACTATCCCTAGGTGGTTTTGGTAATTCCTAATAACATATAGCTCATTGGGCTAATGCTATTTCAAGATTAATATCTCAGGAAAGCTTAATGATTGGCATGACATGGATGAGAAAAGTGGACCCCTCAAAATGCTAAGGACAAAGGATTGGCTCAAGCTCAAGACTCTACATTTTCTATTTTAATGATCCAAGATCACATTGAGTCTATAGGAAAAGCCAATACTATCAAGGAGGGATGATGTGTTGCTTAGTGAGGTTCTTGCTCAAAATGCTTAGTGATATGCTCCAAAAACCCTCAACTACTTTCTCACATCCACATATGACCTAAACCAAAAGTCAAACTCGGCCCCACCGATTCTTTCTATCCGGCGCCACCGAGTTTCAAATGTCATAGCCACCGCCACAAACCCTAGGCAAATCGGTCTCACCGATAGGGATCTCGGTCTCACCGAGATGGGATTGTAATCTCTCTGTTTCCCTTCGTAACATTTTGGTCTCACTGAGATGAGCGATCGGTCCCACCGAGATTGCAATGTAAACTCTCTGTTCTCCCTTCGTGACGTTTCGGTCTCACCGAAATGAGCGATCGGTCACACCGAGTTTACCTGACCAACTCTCTAGTTAGCTTATTACCAAAATCGGTCTCACCGAGTTTGTGTAATCAGTCTCACCGAGATTACGTTATGCCCTAACCCTAATCATATCGGTCCTACCGAGTTGCATGTTGGTCCCATCGAAAACCCTAACGGTCTCTAGCTTTGCTGAATCGGTCCGACCGAGTTTAACCATTCGGTCCTGCCGAGTTTGGAAAGTTATGTGTAACGGTTAGATTTTGTGTAGAGGCTATATATACCCCTCCACCTCCTCTTCATTCGTGGAGAGAGCCATCAGAACAAACCTACACTTCCAACCTATATTTTCTGAGAGAGAACCACCTACACTTGTGTTGAGACCAAGATATTCCATTCCTACCATATGAATCTTGATCTCTAGCCTTCCCCAAGTTGCTTTCCACATAAATCTTCTTTCCACCAAAACCATATCCTGTGAGAGAGAGTTGAGTGTTGGGGAGACTATCATTTGAAGCACAAGAGTAAGAAGTTCATCATCAACACACCATTTGTTACTTCTTGGAGAGTGGTGTCTCCTAGATTGGATAGGTGTCACTTGGTAGCCTCCGACAAGATTGTGGAGTTGAACCAGGGAGTTTGTAAGGGCAAGGAGATCACCTACTTCGTGAAGATCTACCGCTAGTGAGACAAGTCCTTCGTGGGCGATGGCCATGGTGAGATAGACAATGTTGCTTCTTCGTGGACCCTTCGTGGGTGGAGCCCTCCATGGACTCGCGCAACCGTTACCCTTTGTGGGTTGAAGTCTCCATCAACATGGATGTACGATAGCACCACCTATCGGAACCACGACAAAAACATCCGTGTCTCCAATTGTGTTTGAATGCTCCAAACCCTTCCATTTACATTCTTGCAAGTTACATGCTTTACTTTCCGCTGCTCATATACTCTTTGCATGCTTGCTTGAATTGTGTTAAGATTGCTTGACTTGTCCAAAGTTGTTAAAATCTGTCAAGAACTAAAATAGGAAAAATGCTAGTTTTTTATTTGGTCAAGTAGTCTAATCACTCCCCCTCTAGACATACTTTCAATCCTACACGTGTTCAATAATAATTTTCGTCGGATTTAATGGTTTTGCAAGATCCAATTTATTCCACCTAGCACATACATTATCTGAATGCATCAAGTATTGGGTTGAGCAACTGCCGTGTCTATATCAATTTTGCATCTTCAAGATTTAAAGTACAAATATTACGTGCAACTTTTTTCCAAATATCTATATTGTCCTTCCAAATAAAATGAACAAGTGAAGCGCTTGTCTTATTTTCACATATTTACAAAAATTCTGACCATTTTATAGTTAAAATGGATGAGCATGGCAACGCGCGCCATCATGGTTTAGTGATGTATCAGTTATTCACTGACTGATAAAGTTAGGCAGTGGTATTCCATAAAAATTGAATTTATTAATATTAGAAAGACAAGAAATACTCTCTCGTTTCAAAATATAAGTCGTATAGAGATTTCAATACAGACTACATATGAACATATATAAACGTATTCAAAAGTAGTTATTTGTACATAGTTCTACACTGAAATCTGTAAAAAGAGTTATATTTAGGAACGGATGGAGTAGATTACATTGTTTTTCACCACCGATCTTACATCAGACGGACTAGATGATTCCAAACTGTTATCCAACTAGCCCTGACACGCCGCCGCTCCTACCCCGACTCCTCTCTCCTCACCTCTCCCCCGCCATCCAAACCGCGATGGCGGCGCCGCTCGCCCCCCTCACCGCCGCCCGCCTCGGCCGTGGCCTCGGTCTCCTAGCCTCCGTACGCTACTACAGCGCTATCGCTGTTCCACTTTCCGTCTCCGCCCCACGGCGCTGGCTCCCGGCCCCGCCCCCTCGCCACGTCAGCAGCTCTGTCCGCCGCCTGGCCGCCACGGCCGTCTCTGAGCCCCAGACGGAGTAAGTCGGTGACCCTCTCATTCCCTCAACCTGTAGCGCGAGAGGCTGACGTTGTGTTAGAGCATCAGTAAACTGTAAAACTTGGAGGAAAACTGCATTGGGTTATTGTTAGAACGCTTTCTGTTTTAGCTAAAAATGTACTTTCGTTTCTGTACGGAACTAGAGATTTCCTTGTTTATTTCATTCATGGTCCAGTGCGAGCTAATTGCAAATGTTTGGCTGCAGTCTCGTAGTTTATGTTGACTCTTGCCTGGCTCAGTGCTGAAAAATATTTGCTTTTAGTGTTTATTAAGAAGCTCATGCATGGACAATTGCCCATTTTGTTAGCTATTGAGTTTCATGTGACTGGTTATTTTATTATTTTTCCTACCAGTATTCCAGTGAACTCCGATCAGTTAATACGTCTCATAATGATTTGTGCCTGCATTTTGAGATATAACCGTGCTTTGTTCTTGTGGTTTGTCTAGTTCAGAGTCTGGTACAGCGACAGTAAGGAAGGGGCGAATCTACCATGAAACGTACGGGTGCCAGATGAATGTAAGCGATATGGAGATTGTGCTGTCTATCATGAAAAAAGAAGGGTACAATGACATTGTTCCTGACCCTGAGAGCGCAGAGATAATATTTATCAACACCTGTGCAATTCGTGACAATGCAGAGCAGAAAGTTTGGCAGCGGCTCAACTACTTTTGGTTCCTGAAAAGGCAATGGAAAGCTAATGTTGCTGGAGGGAGATCGAAGTCTCTGCGTCCTCCTAAGATTGCTGTTCTCGGGTGCATGGCAGAGCGACTGAAGGAGAAAATACTCGACTCTGATAAGATGGTTGATGTTGTATGTGGTCCGGATGCATACAGGGACTTGCCTAGGTTGCTGCAGGAAGTCGACTATGGGCAGAAGGGTATCAACACACTCCTCTCACTGGAGGAGACTTATGCTGACATCACCCCAGTTAGGATTTCCGACAATTCGGTTACGGCGTTCGTGTCAATTATGAGGGGTTGTAACAATATGTGCTCGTTTTGCATTGTTCCCTTCACTAGAGGCAGGGAGAGGTCACGCCCAGTATCTTCTGTTGTCCGAGAAGTTGGTGAGCTATGGGATGCTGGCGTAAAAGAAGTAATGCTTCTTGGTCAGAATGTAAACAGTTATAATGATACTTCAGAAGTTGAGGAGTTGGAGCCTGGTAAAAACTGGCAGCTCAGCGAAGGATTTTCCAGTAGGTGCAAAGTGAAGAATATGGGGTTGCGTTTTGCCGATCTCCTGGATCAGTTGTCTCTGGAATACCCTGAGATGCGATTCAGGTTTACCTCTCCACATCCAAAGGATTTTCCTGATGAGCTGCTATATTTGATGCGGGATAGGCACAACATTTGCAAACTTATTCACTTGCCTGCACAATCAGGCAGCACAGAGGTGCTGGAACGAATGAAACGGGGTTATACTCGAGAAGCATATTTGGAGCTTGTGCAGAAAATCCGTAATGTCATTCCAGATGTTGGGCTAAGCAGTGATTTCATAAGTGGTAAGACACACCTGTTTTCTGCTTTTTGGTAATCAGAATCTTTCTAAGTGAAGTGCTTCCAATGTGGATATATATTTCCTGTGTGGCTGATTTGGAGAGAGAGATGCGGTTAGGGGCTGCTTTCTCGCTTCTTATTCTCCTCGATTCCTTTCTATGTGAAATACTTGGTTAGGGGCTAGGACAGATGAAATCGAATTAGGAATGTACAGTAATTACTAATTACCACCTGAACACCAATGTAATAATTAGCATCCTTTATTTTTCACACTATATTTTGATCTTATGTTAAGGCCTCATGGTTTGAGAAAATTGTTTTCCATATCCACAAATGTGTCAGTCATGTCTATGTATCCTCTAGTTACAGCTTAGAATAGAGTACCTCAGTAGTTTAAACAGTCTCCATTTATTTCTATCTGGTTACAGCTCACACTGAGTACCTCAGTACTCTAACAATGTATCCTCTGTTAAAAATGAGCGTTATTTATTCTCAGTTTCCTTAATTGTACATAGTGGGAAGACGAACATGCTGCAAAGAATCACACAGTACTGCAAAGCTGTTGGGATTAGGGCTGGAAAAAAAGCTCGAAGCTCGCAAGCTAAACGAGTAGCTCTGTTAAAGTACGTAATGGGCCTAATGGTCTGGGCTGGCGGTATAGCCCGTTAGTCTTAGGATTTATTAGAGATAAGGGTCGCTTGTTTAGGGGTCAAGTAAGCCTTGCTTGGGAGTCAAGTAAACCTCTCTATATAAAGAGAGGAGAAGTATCAATCTAATCAAGCAAGAATTAAGAAGGAAATCCTTTCCATCTTGTCCGGTCGTGGGCAAAAGGCCCCCGGCCGGCTCTCTCGCGCCCTCCTTCTAGCAGTGCCATAACAATTTGGTATCAGCTAGCTTCGGTTCGATCATGTCTTCACCGCCTCCCAACCCGTCTTTTCCGCTGCCGGTCACCTCGTCGTCTCCGGCGACCACCACGATCGTCGCCCCGCTCCTGCCCGCGCCGGGATCCTCCGTCGCGCCCTTCCCCGCCGTCCTCACCCTGGAGGAGGTGTCCGGGGCGCTGCGGGACCTAACCCAGGCGGTCCAGGAGATCCGCCTGGTCTTGGCCGGGTCCTACAGGCCGCACCCGGCTGCGCCGCCCATCGCGCCGCCGTGGCTGCCGTGGCAGCCGCTCCACCAGGCGGCCTTCGTCGCGCTCGTCGGGCCGCTGCAGCTGCCATCCACCGCCCCGCCCTGGCTGCAGTGGCACCCGCCGCTCCTGGCGGCCTCCGCCGCGCTCGGCGCTCGGCGCTCCGCCGCAGCAGCCGCTGCCGCAGGGCGTCCCCGTCGCGCTCGCCGGGCCGCTGCAGCTGCCATCCATCGCCCCGCCCTGGCTACAGTGGCAGCCGCCGCTCCTGGCGGCCTCCATCGCGCCCGGCGCTTCGCTGCAGCAGCCACCACCGGTCAGCTCCGGTCCCGCATCGACAGCGCCGACGGGAGTCCCGATCCACCAGATCAAGTTCCCGTCGTTGCAATTACCGCTTCCCCAGGGCGTCCCCATCCAGCAGATCAAGTTCCCGCCGTCGCCATCACCGCTTCCGGCTTGGATCACTACTCGCCACGTGTCGGCGGCGGTGAGGCTGCAGGCTGTTGCGCGCGGCCTCCTAGCGCGTCGGCGTGTGCGGGAGATGCGTGGGCTGCAGCTGCCGCTCCTCCCAGCTGCGCTTTACCGCGCAAAGGACCTCAATCTCATCCGCTGCGTCGGGGATCTTGGGCATCCTGTTTTCCTCGCGGGCAGCGACCTCAAAATCTGCGACATCAGCGCTTGGGGGGCGCACCCCTCCTCGTCATTCTCCATCGCAAGCCCTCCACTCTTCTCTGTGCGGTGCAGACCAACAGCCGTCTGGCGGGGAGAAGGCAGGGTGTCATCGACAGGAGCGCACCGCGTAGCACCACTGCATTCCGCCGGCCGCCACGAGGGCGCCTCTGCTGGTCGCTCTTGCGACCACTTCCAGGTGGCCATACACATGCACTCCTTTTGTCCAGATGGTGTTCATGGGATCCAGGTGGCTGTACACGTGCACGGCCGACGTGCAGATGGTGTCCACTTTTTGTTAAGGGGTCCAAAATAAATCGTTCCAGTCCATTTCAGGTTGAGAGTAATAAAACAAGCCGAGATGTAAAAGGCTTGTTTTTAGGTGTTAGGTTTGTGTTGCGTCGAGTCATGGTTATAAGTTGGTTAGGCTGCAGCTCGAGGATAAGCTGCATGTCCAGGTGGGGTGTAGTGTTAGAGTACGTAATGGGCCTAATGGCCTGGGCTGGCGGTATAGCCCGTTAGTCTTAGGGTTAATTAGAGATAAGGGTCGCTTGCTTAGGGGTCAAGTAAGCCTTGCTTGGGAGTCAAGTAAACCTCTCTATGTAAAGAGATGAGATGTATCAATCTAATCAAGCAAGAATTAAGAAGGAAATCCCTTCCATCTTGCCCGGTCGTGGGCAAAAGGCCCCCGGCCAGCTCTCTCGCGCCCTTCTTCTAGCAGCGCCATAACAAGCTCGTGACTCGGCTCGAATCGACTCGAACTCAAAAAATAACGAGTCGAGCCGAGCTTTAGTTTAAGATCGTTTATAGACCAAGTTAAACGAGCCAATCTCACGAGTACTCGTGTAACTCGTTAGGCTCAGTACAAAAGATCAGCCACTCCCAATACAAAAAAAGATTAGCCACTCAGCACCCTATGTCCCAGGCGCACAACACAAGGCCTAGCCGTTGAAAGCCCAGCCGCCTAGGAGACTCATGCGTTACAAGGAAATTACTATTGTTTAGTGATATATATGTTTAATATATACATAATCATTTTAATAATATTTGAGGGTTTTATGTTCATATCTTTAACGAGCTTAACAAGTTAAACAAGTTGAGCCAATCTTGGATTTGAGCTCGTTATAATAACGAGTCGAGTCGAGCTAGCTCGTTAACGAAACAAGCTCTAGCGAGTCGAGCCGAGCTGGCTCGACTCGGCTCAACTTGGGATTCATGACAATTGAAGTTCTTGACTTCTTACTGCTACTAGAACAATGCCCGTGCGTTGCAACAGGATATAAATATTCTAGTATGTTTTTTTAACATCAGTGCAGACATAAGCGCTCATATATACATGCATACACTCACCCCTATGAACGCACACTCGCACACCCTACCCCTATGAGCACCTCCGAGAGATTTAGTCGGCATATCATCTTGAGATTTTACAAAGTCACCGTAGGCGCCTCGTAGTCGACGGGAACGTCTCCTCCCACCGAACGTGCATCGCCGGAAATCCTGAAAGAAATCCAGGACAAATGCGAGCACCAAGACATGAACCCTGGTGGGCTGGGAATACCACTGTCCACCTAATTAACCATCCAACCACAGGTTGGTTCGCTTGTGATTTACCTGCCAATAATAATGTGATTGTGTAAATAAATGTTCATCAAATTCTACCTGTGAATTACCTTATATTTTGATTAAAAGTTTGGTAAGTAAGTTAAAGTGGAATTGGTTCAAAAGGCAAGTAAATTATGATGATTTATTATATACATGGGAGGATGGACGAAGGGGTGGTGGAAAGAAAGGTGAAATGAGAACCTTACGTTCTTTTTAAGTAGTAGAGATAAATAGTACTCCCTATGTTCCAAATTAAGTGTTGTGGTTTTAGTTCAAAATTTGAACTAAAACCACGACACTTGAACGGAGGTTGTACTTAAACAAGGCAAATATCTTTCTATTTTAGTTGTGGCAACAACACTGCCTTGCGCTTAAGTCTGTAACTCATTTATTGCATCTGCACTGCAACATGCCACTTGCATCATTTATGGTGGCATATAATCTCTTTCAGGAGATGCTTCTATGCTAATCTCTTGGAAGTTGCACGAACCTAAAGCACAAATCGCTGGTGAATACCATGTTAGGAAATAATAATATGCAACTTGTATTCCCATGGGGCCATAGGCCAGTATATATACATGTACAGGTGCAGGAAATATGCAGAAACACCTTATAGCATGGAGTAAATACAAAAGGCTACATGGCTATATATGTAGTACTCTCACAGATTTCATCCTACATCGTTCGAGTTTCAAGTTCTGTAACTTTAATTAAAGGACTTCTTTTTGTCTTTCGTTCATTCATCATGCTATCTGCAGATGTTTACATGCTGCACTTTCTTATGTACAAGGGTTTTCTCTTAATTTGACCAGTGCGTTTGTGATGTACAACAGGCTTTTGTGGAGAGACAGAAGATGGCCATGCTGACACTCTTAGCCTTGTAAGGGATGTTGGATATGATATGGCTTACATGTTTGCATATAGCATGAGAGAGAAGACCCATGCTCATCGGAATTATGAGGATGATGTCCCCAATGATGTTAAGCAGAGGAGACTTGCAGAACTGATCAACACCTTCCGTGAGACCACAAGAAAGATCTACGATTCTCAGATTGGTACCACACAAGTAGTTCTAGTCGAGGGACCCAATAAGCGAGCTCCTGAAACAGAGCTGTTTGGGAAAACTGACCGGGGGCACAGGGTATCGTTTACTAGTCTCCCTGTACCACATACATCTGAAGGTGATGGAGCTCGTAAGCCAGTGGTTGGTGACTTTGTTGAGGTAAAAATTCTCAGGTCGTCGACAGCATCGTTATTTGGAGAGCCAATTGCACGCACAAGCTTGGGCATGTATTGCAAGAATCATGCATCTGAAGCACATGCTGGTGCATAAGGAGTAGTCGAGTTCATGGGAGTCCACATGAAGTGAATCAGTTAAGTCTGTGTAATGTTTGACTTGAAATGACTACAATTGGGAGCATACCATGCAATTTAAGTTGGTGTTGACATGTTTTCATGATGAGATATTGGTTGTCTAGTTTTGGGTGGGAAGGTAGCATGGTGTTATGCTTGGAGCAGATGAAATACAAAGATTTTTTCGCATTATGTGCGTGCTAATCGTGTGGTGAAGTACTTTTTCTTTAGAGGGAAGCAGTTGTAAAGTTGACATTTTTCATTGTAACACCATCAGTGTCATGCTATAGTAATCTCATGCCTAATGATGCCACGTCATCATAATTAAGTCGCTAATCCTCACTTTGTTTCAAACCAAACTCAAATTTAAATTTTAAATGCAAGTCAAATATTTATTTATTCAAACATGAAAACTAAAATGTCCACCATGTGGCAAATAATACATAGCTAATTATGGATGCGATCCAACATTTTTATAAATTGTTTAAATGCCCTAAAATAATTAAAACAGTGGCCTAAAGCAATTATTAAATGCCTTTTAAAAGTTATAAAAGTATAAACTAATTTATCAATGTGCCAAACTTTTGTTGCAGTGGGTTATTTTGCAACTCCATTTATGGAGCCAGTTTTATATTTTAGTAAAACTATTTTTGCTAACTAAAATAAAGAAACATAAGTTTAAAAAAAAGGAAAAACCTAAAGAAGGAAGGCGTATCACAGGGGTATTTTTCTTTTTTTCTATTCACTTCCGTGGGGTTCTAAATTGAAAACATGAACAAAAACAAAATCATATTGAAATTACATAAAAAAAGAAAAGGGAGGAGTAGCTCTTGGTTTAAAGAAAAGGGAGGAGATGGATCGAATTCAGTCCTTTTCCTTTCTTTGATGATCTTCAACACATTTATTTGAATTCCCTGCGAGTGAAAATTCCCTATGGGCCTAAACCCCCCTGGCCGGCCCAGCTAGCCCCTTCCCGTTGCCTCGTTCCTCGACTAGAGGGGGAGGGGAGCGTGGCCATCTCTGATGGCCAACACGGCCTCGGCCATCGCCTTGGCTGCTATCCGTCGGCTCCCCGACGGCCTCAAGACCCCGTCGACCCCCCATTGCAAACCCGGCTCCTCGCCCCTCCCCTTCTCACACGAGCTTTGCCCGAACCCGGCAATCACCGCGCCGTCGTCGTCCCCTCCGGCCGAGGTGGAGCCGGGGGCCTCGTCTACCTCCCCTACGTTGCCTACGTGAGCTAGCTCAAGCCGGGAGGCCCCCTACGCCGGATGGACGCCACCCGCCTCGGCCCTCTTCGTCGGCCACCGCCATCTCGTTGCGGTCCCGCCGCTCCGGTCTGCTCCCAGCCGTCCCGAGCTCTCCACCGGCCACCTCCTGGTGAGCCCGCCCCTTCCCCTCCTTCGCGGCCCCGATTCACGCCGTATGCCGCCACCCCAGGAGCTGGACTGCCTACTGCCATGCCTGCGCTTCCTGCCTGTGGCCGCGCGCCCCGCACCCCTGCGCCCGTCGTCACCCGCGCCCCTGCACGACCGTCACGTGGTCGCCGCCCCAGTCCGCCGCACCCGCAGCTGCTTGCGCTGCCAGGCCGCGCGCTGCAACTGCTGCCCCGCGCGCCGGCTCGTGCCCTGCCGCCCTCTTGGCTGTGCGCATGCCTGTAGCCACCGCACCCGGCCCGCGCCCGCGTTTTGGTCGACCGCCCCGCTTCCCCCCATGCTCGCCGCATCACTTCCTCACCTCGCACTTAACTGCGCCTCACCCTCCGGCCCCTTTTGCTGCCGCTGCCGCTATCTCCTATTCCCGCGGCAGCCGTCCGTGCCCGCCGGCCCCCTGCGGCGCCCTGCGCTCGCTACTCGCCGTCGGCCGCCACTCCCCGCGCCGGCCTCCGTCCACCGCTCGCACGGCCCCTAGCCGCGCGACGCCCATGCCCGTGCGCCTCATCCCTTGTGCGCCAGCGCCACCGACGTGGCGGGGCGTGGTGCCCATCCCTGGTCACTAGTTAGTGGGTCCAGACCCACTGTCAACCTAGTGCACCACTGAGTGCACTTCACCTGGTGTACCCAACATTTATGTACTATTTTTTTATATTAAATTAAATCCTGTAAATCCAGAAAATGGTTAAAACTTCGAAAATTAATAGAAAATAAACCGCAAGTCGGATGAAAACAATTTATATATGAAAGTTCCTCAGGAAAATCCAACAAATCAGAATATGCAATCCGTTCATCTATCACATGCCTCTAGCATGATGAACTTGGAACCGTCCCCTCTCTTTCATCTGTCAAAAAATTGCAAAACGCCGGAAAAACATCTAGGGATGCATCTATTTGCTTTGTATTTATTGTTTCTCCCCCCCTCTTCTCTTCGGTAGACACCGAGACTGATGCTACCGCCGGGTACGACTGCGCCTCTAACGTCCAGCCCCTTTCAGTAGAGCTTCCAAGCAAGGAAACCCCCTTGATCATTCCAATATCGCCCATTCCCTTCTCTCTTATGCTTGCGTTAGAACTGCTACTGCTTATGATCCTACTCTGATGTATAGCCTGATTTTGTAACCTGCTTTGTACCTTACCTACTTATCCTAAACTTCTTAGTATAGGTTGGTTAGTTATCCATCAGTGACCCCTCACCTTGTCCCAGTTACTTCCTCTTTATCTCCAATGACTCGATCAATGTGATCGACGTCTAGAGCCCGACACATCACATCACACCCCCTTAGTTGTACGACACTACAGGGTTACTATCAAGTGCCGAGGGACGGAGGGTGATACCTCGTATAGCACTTCTGATGTTAACTCTATAGTGTAGCTATTCAGTCGTGGTCATCGAGGGTGATTCCTCCTTCACCACTCTTGATAATGATTCTGTCGTGCAAACCCCTCAAGTGTGGACCATCGAGGGTGATTCCCCCAAGTCCACAAGTCGGGTCAGCCCCGAGGAGTACCCGCGAGAGAAATGTGAAGTCGGGTTGACCGTGAGTGTACCCGCGAATTGATGTGTAGTCAGGTTGACCTGGAGGGTACCCGCGAGATAATTAGGTGGCACGGCCGGGCATTCTAGGCCCTTGTCGTAGGCTCACGAGACGGGGCGACATGGTCACATGATCGCGAGTCTCTGCTCATTACTGCGCGCTACCAAGACACTAACGGTTTGTATATGTGATCCGAGTAGGCCTCTGGCCATTTCTCGCTGACCACCACACGAGAATAAGTATGGGCACTCTGCGTCGTATGTATCAACCGAAAGCTCTTCGGACGCCAGCGACTAAGCGGCGCGCGTCCGGGTGTCCCGCGTAAGAACCTACCTTGTATAAGGAGGTAGCCATGACTGACACCGGACGCGTACGCAACATGCATGAGTGCAAAGGGCGATGGGCCCGAGACCCCTGCGTGCTTAGGATTCCTGATGGTGTGTCCGACCAGAGTTGATCGAGCGCGTTGGGTAAGTTTGTGCACCCCAGCAGGGAAGTTTAATCCATTCGAATAGCTGTGTCCATGGTAATGGACGCTTGGAGTTGTATACCGATCGATACAACTAGAAATGGATATCTGAGATGTGAAATGAATATAATGGCTCTGGGATTGCTTTCTCACAGAGAGTCGAGGAAGTGATCTCTAGGCGATGCTACAACATACTACTACCTTATGATATGCTAATATACACTCTTCTAATGCCGCAAGATGCTAGTCTTTGATAGGCTAGACTTTCCCTTCTCTTCTGGCATTTCTATAGTCCAGTCCAAAGATATAGCCCCATTCCTTTAATACTGATGCATACTTAGCATAGTTCTGATGTAAGTCCTGCGAGTACTTTGGATGAGTACTCACGGTTTCTTTGCTACTTCTCTTCCCCCTATATCCGATTGGTGCGATCAGATGACGGATCCCAGGAGCCAGGCGCCACTCCCGACGACTTCTACTACTACCCCAAGGGTGCCTACTACTAAGTGGAGGCCGACGACCACCAGGAGTAGTTAGGAGGCTCCCAAGTAGGAGGCCTTGCCTTTTCGATCATCGTTGATGGTTGTGCTAGCCTTCTTAAGGAACACTTGTTTAACTTATGTCTATACTCAGATTATGTTGCTTCCGCTGACTTGTTTGTATTCGAGCTTATGTATTCGAGCCCTTGAGGCCCCTGACTTGTAATATGAAGCTTGTATGGCTTTAAATTTGTGTCTAGAGTTGTGTTGTGATATCTCCCCGTAAGTCCCTGATCTTGATCGTACACATTTGCGTGTATGATTAGTGTACGATTGAATCGGGGCTGTCACATTCATGTAATTGGTTTTACTTACTGCAAACCCTAAAATTATTTCTTGCTGATACAATAAATACACTGATTACATTTTCATGTTTATGATGACTAGGGTTAGAAGATTATTTTCTTCCTTGCCTTTTTTTTATGTATAGGATAATCCTTTTTGTAACTAGTGAGGTACTACCTCCGTCCTGGTTTATTGGTCCCCATTGTAATTTGTGTCAAATTTTGACCATAAATTTAACTAACAAAATGTTCATGCATGCCATCAGAGGTTATATCATTGAAAACTACGTTAAAATACAAATCCAACAATATAATTTTTGTTGACATGCACTAACATTTTGTAAGTTAAATATTTGGTCAAAATTTAGCACAAATGTCAGGACGCCGATCCTAAGTCACACCGATCTAGCATGTAACACATCATATCACTTTGCAGCCTCACGCATGGTATTCCCACGAGTGCCACCTTACTTGGCCCGGGACCATTTGTGCCTTTTGGCTCACATATATGATAGTGTCGCTAGCATCCATATGACAAATAATCCGGGCAGACATGACTAGTCGTAAACCCAAAGTGGCACTAACTTACAGGGACAGGCATACATGAGCCAGCAACGAACGTGTCGGTCATCAGTGAGTGAATCCGGGCTATAGAAGCTGGGCTAACAGGACTCCGGAGACACCACGTGACATTTCCCCAAAGGGACAGACACAGGA